AACACAATTTTGCAGGGAACCAAGGAGCAACATATACCAAGGAGATGAAACCCCGGGGGGGCACTCGCCCCACATTATGGTAGGTAATATCATATGTGCCACTGCGAAGTCAAAAATGAGGGGGGGGGCCGGGGGCTCTGGAACTAACTCAGACCTGAAAATGGCACAGGCACTTGGACCGTTTCAATAATAAAATGATGGTTAATAAATACAACTTGTCAGTACTACTAGTAGTAGTACTACTACTGGCCCTACCAGTACCAGTACCAGTAATAGTCTTAATGTTTGATTTGACCTAATAACTTTACTTCAACACCGTCCAATACACCGCTGCCACACATAGCGCGCACGCCCTTGTGCATGCATGCACAAATACACAGTGATAGAGAGTGTGTATTTGTCACTGTGTATCACTGTGTGTCACTGTGTGTCACTGTGTGTCACTGTGTGTCACTGTGTTGTCACTGTGAGTCACTGTGAGTCACTGTGTTGTCACTCTCTATCACTGTGTATTTGTGCATGCACAAGGGCGTGCGCGCTATGTGTTGCAGCGGTGTATTGGACGGTGTTGAAGTAAAGTTATTAGGTCAAATCAAACATTAAGACTATTACTTGTACTGGTACTGGTAGGGCTAGTAGTAGTATAGTACTGACAAGTTGTATTTATTAACCATCATTTTATTATTGAAACGGCCCAAGTGCCTGTGGAAAATGGGGGTCTCTGGAACTAATGTTTGTTGAATATGGTATGCTCTGGAACTGGCTATGTTCGAAAATGGGGGTCTCCGGAACTAGGATTTCGTTGAAATTCAATGCTATGACACTGGACACGTTTAAAAGAGGGGGTCTCCGGAACTGTGGGGGGGGGGAGTGATTTCCTTTAAAATCTATGCTGTAGCACTTGAACCAATAATAATTATTGTTGTATTATGTAGAGAGAAACAACATGACCCGGAGAGAGATGAGGACGCACGCACACACACACACACACACACACACACACACACACACACACACACACACACACACACCACACAACACATACACACACACACACCATACACACACACACACACACACACACAACCACACACACACAACACACACACACAGACAACACACGCACGCACGCACGCACACATACAACACACACACGTTGCATGCATGCCTTGACGGCCCGGCTTCAACGTATTCAAAAGTACGATGCACTGGAACGGAAATATAAAAAACTAGGGTCTCCGGAACGGCAAAAATCTAAGATCTGCATGGTAACGAAACTTAATGCTCTGGAACGAGATATTCTTAAACATGCGATGCACTGGAACGGCATGTTAGGGTTAGGGTTGAAAATGGGGTCTCTCCCGCGGCACGTACCTACCATGGCAATATATATGGAGTGCCCCCCCCCCCCGACCCAGGCACGACCCAGTTAACAATGCAATGGTCACGCATGTGGTATGGTGCAATGGTATGGTATGGTGCAATGGTATGGTATGTGCAATGGTATGGTATGTGCAATGGTAAGGCTCAACAATGCAATGGTCACGCATGTGCACCTAGACATAGATACTAACCCAAGTTAAACTTGGGTTAGTATCTATGACCTAGACATGTTAGACAAGGTAGATGAACAGGATGTAATTTCAGAATTTGTAAGTTGCCATCCAGCAGAAAAGATAAATTGAAAATAAAAATAAATGAAAAAAAAGCAAATAATGGTTATCTGACTGGACTGGGTTTAGGTCAATTACGTAATTAATACTGATGCAATTAGACGTGGTATATCTAGTGCCTCTACAGATTTGGAATGTGTATTTAATATGACGCAATGTGGCCTATTTCCAATTCAAACTTTCCAAAACAACAGAGCTGTACATAGTGGAAAAAAAAGAAAAAAAAAAAAAAAGTATACAATGCAGATGAAAATATGCTTATTTTCTCACTTAATTATGTACTGATATTATATACAATTTGTGTAAATACATGTTTATATTAGTTATCATACTTTATAAATATTTTAGATACTTTAGTCAAAACATTCAGCTTTAGCTACATTCTCTCTTTGAAACTTACAAATAACTTTGACTTTTTAAAAGTGATCAGAATGGCTTGCTTTCAAACATACGCCTGAAATGCAGGAAATGCCATGGTTCCAGGCTCTACATTTCAAAAAAATTTGACCCCAGACCCCCCGCATCGGATACATCTTTCTGCCGTGGCACTTTTTGGGAGGCCACTACGGCCCTGACATATCCTCTACTACGGGATTTTTACTAGATATAATAATGTAACCCAACAGATTAGGGTAACATTGTGTTTTTTTGCGTTATTGCATCTAGATTTCTATATTATATGAATTCCAAACATAAAACTACATTACACATGGGAACCGCCATGTAAAGTAGCGAGTGCATGTCCGGCTTGCGCAGACCGTGGTAGTGTAGCACTGGTGGGCCGCTGTCGTACGCGAAGCGACACGCGCGCACTCTCACATAGATACAATCATGTCAGGAGTGTCATATAATATAGACACTCTATATTATCTAGAGTCCTAGACAGATCTATACAGATATACTGTATAGACAGTCTAGATTATGACACTCCTAACAATATCGTTTTTTGCGTGGAGCTACCCTGGGGATTACATATACTTCCAAAGTGATTTTATATCCGAAACACGAATCGTGTTCCTCAGTCCCGAACATCTTATGTTGGGTTACATTACAGTAAAAACCCGCGTATACAGATAGATTTTTAGGAAGCATGTTAGCCTAAAATTTACCCTTTTTAGAACGCCCCTTTTACATAAAACCTGTTTAGGCAAGATTGTTAAAGAGGTTCTTAATTTTTCCATGCAGATGAAGAACTTAAAAAGAAAACACAGGTAAAATAAAAAGACGAAGTCAACAATATCGACCTGCCAATAACAATTGCCAATGCCGATGCAATGCCAATGCTCAACATAACAAATGCCAGCACCCTGCATGTTATTGAGAACACAGTACTGCCATTATTTTAGCATATACAGCTAAAAAACCGCATCAAAAGAACACGTCGATTAGGACACTCAGGCTGAAATGCGGTCAACAAATTGCAATATATCATAGAACACATTCAGCCTGAAAAATAAAAAATGGTCTTATATACAAAACAACAACATGCTGCAAGCAACTTAAGCTCTCCATATACACCTTAGAACACATAACAACTACCTGTACTCGGTACACATGCATCACAGGCCACTTAAGCGCGCGTAGCCGCGGTTTTCAGCTAGACATATTAAAAGTAGAAACAATTAAGAACGCTAATTTAAAGACCACTTTTGGCCTAATTTTTCAGTAAGCACCATTTATATAAGAACATGTTGAGGCTAACTTGGAAAATATACGTGTCTTAACGCGGCGTTTTTTACTGTATTGTATCTGCTTATAAAGTTCGTGGTAGAAAATTACCCGTTCTACGCATCGTGCGTGCGACGTACACGGCTGTGTGCGCACATACGCGGCACGCACCTCGGCCTACCAGGGCGCTGTACCAGGAATTTGTGAGCAGTAAGGGGGGTCTAACCGTAACCGCAGCTTGCGGAGGACCGCGCAGGGGGTATGGGGCGACTCCCCCCGACATTTTTTGAATTAGACCGCCCTCAGGCGTTTTGCTGCGCGAGCAGGTAGGGGGGTCGCGGACCCCTGGACCCCCCCTGTACACGCCCGCTGTATAGCCCGTGTGTGAGCAGCTGTCAGCACGGCCGAGACACGTTACAGGCGGGCAACACGTGTAATCGCCGGCATAGGTTGGGCGCGTACATGCAGGCGAGAGCCGGAGTACACAAACCAAAAACACCACGCCCAAGCGTAATAGAATTATAACACAAGAGCAGAAGTATTTAAACGCCGCAGTAGATATAATTACACGCCTGAAACGTGTTATTCACACAGCCCGCGTGGTATTTACACGCCGCGTGTATTTTACACGCCTCTGCGTGTATTACACGCCCGCGTGTATTGACACGGACAACGTCAATAATCACCACAAACGCGCACGTTAGGTATTTAACACATACCCAAGCAGATAAAATATAACAACACACGAATCTCGAAAGATAATTATACAAAAGTGCCCGCGTATATTTTACACCCTGAGTGTATTTACAACCACCGCGTGTATTGGTACACGCCAGCGTGTAGGTTACACGCCCCGCGGCGATTCGCACGCACGAACCGAGTGGCACGAATGTGGAACGAATCTGCATGTGGTGGGATAACTTCGTACCTATCAGATATTCTCAGCTAAGTGTCCACTTGCGAACACCGCCCTCCCTGAGCCACTAACATGCCCACGAGTCGTATCTCCCTCCTTCGGACCAAGGCACAAGCAAAGTAAACCTCTTCATACCCAGTTCCACAGATTCTAACAGCCACGGAAAAACAGATAGTTTTGCGCGTTACGGAAACGTTTTTCTGGACTATCGACGTAAAACGGGGCATTACTATCCTCCTCTCTTCTCTCATCTCTCTGCCCGTCTCTCTCTCTCTCTCTCGTCTCTCTCTCTCTCTCTCTCTCTCTGGCTCTCTCCTCTCTCTCTCTCTCTCTCTCTCTCTCTCTCTCTCGCTCTCTCTCTGACTATATAGTAATATATAATATATTATATATATATATATATATATATTATATATATAGTATAATAGGATAACGCATCAATGACTTCAATCAAATTAAAAATTATTACGGTGTAGAAGCTGTATAGCGTAGAAGCTGCAACTTTGTATAACTTGAATATACAGCCTTGTGGAATAGTTATACAAATTTACATACGATTTATACAAGTTGACACAATGTTGTGCATAATTTTAAGCAATCGGGTTGTTTCTCTTTTATCACACGATTATTCTGCAAGCAACGGCTTGTTTCCAATCGGAAACTGATGCTTCCACCCACGTCAATTCAATTGGTGCGCTCATTGTCAGTTTGTAAGAAGTCATTGGAAACAACATACAACGGTGTATTATAAAACATGGCTTTAATATTTTCAGTGTATTACAACATTTTCCTGTTTGGCATATTGATACACATCAACGCACCCTTTCACATTGGAGTTAGAACAGCTTGAGGTTCCTAGCTGATATTTACAATTGGAACCCCATGAAAGACACTGAAATAGTATATGCTCAGAGATGCTTCCCTTTCTGAAAATCTCATCACGGAAGTGCAGTGAATATATTTACACACACACACTGAAATGCAAAGGTTTATATTTACAGGTTCTGTGCTACTATTATTGCAGACTTGCAGTGATCCTCGAGCACTTATAATATTGTTTATGAACAAGCACAAAAAGTGTTCTGCGTGCTTTTTTTTCTCGTAGTAGTAGTAGTGTGTCATTTTTGAACTGGTATGTCTATATTGGATCAAAACCACCTGTGCATACACAGAAATAATCTAAAACACCCAACTTTAGGATTTAATTGTTTAAGATAATCTCCCATCACATAAAGCCTTCCAATTAGTGTTCTTATCAATTCTTAACAATGATCTTCTTCATATCAATCTATACCAATGAATATCTAACAGAATCCAATACTGCAAAACACTGAATTGACAAAAAAAAATACCGTTGTACATAAATGCTGTGCAAGCGGGAAACTAGTCAGTAATTATGTTTTCAAAATGTACTGTATTCTTTGTGTAAATTTCATAATAACCCGTGTCACCCATACTGTATGATCAAAGATATTTTAATAGTGTGATGTAAATTATAGCTGTAAGAGGAAGCCTGGCTGCTTCTTAGCTTTCTCTTTTTGTATTTCTCAGAACTGTAAATTAATTTTTAACCATAGATTTAATTTCACACCTACGTACCACGCGCAGACTTACTTCACACGATTTCATCTGTTTAAAATCACTTGCCTTTCAAGTTCATAATTTTTCAAGTAAATGACACCGCACGCACTGCCGCACATGCAGTACCGAGCCAGTATAGTATACTAGGCCTACTAACTTACACGCAAGCATGAAGAACTGATATGCTTAGTGGTGTCCCTTCTCTCGAGCACAGTGACCTCTCTAGCACCAACCGTCCTCACTGCTAGTTGTCAGTCATATCAATTCATAAACAGAGAAGCTGCTTCACGATCACACTCTTCTCTGAGCAGCAGTAGTACTGTCTGCATCCCCACAGGGAGAGGGTGCTGGGGTCAGGCGAGTAGGTCACACTTGTGTCTCATAGCCGTGCCCTTCGTTGCCGCGCCACGTCCACCCTAACCACATCCCACGTGTCCTATTTCCTGCCACGTCCCCTGTGCATCATCGCTCCGAGCCCTCCGCCGCGGTGGGCCGGGTTGCCCCGCCCGTTTCCGTGCATGCCGGCTCCTGCGTTGCCCCCTCTCGGCGCCGAGCCACGCGGTCCATTGAAACTGTTCGGGGGCATACCGCGTCCGTTCATCGGCTGCACGCCGCGACCCCGTGGTATGTGTCCGTTACCGAAGCCCTGACTATAGCTTATCGGTGGCTGCTGCACTAAAGGCTGCTTCACGTCGGCACCAGGCACCATGCCCACCACCTGCTGCTGCAGCGGCACAGGTTGAGTCGTTGCCACCTGGAAACCATGCTGCTCAGCCTGTAACATAGAGAACAGATGCAATGTTACCAGGAGTGTATAGTATAGATATACGTATATGTGTGTGCGTGCGTGCGTGCGTGGGTGTATAATCTATATTACGGCTATAGGTTATATATCCATAATCTATATTATACACTCCTGATGTTTAAAAGCATACATTAGCAATTTTAGCTCCAATGCTCTAACGTCACGTAAGTCGATCTCGATCCTGGTCCGATCAAAACCGCATGCCCCTGTCTGTACAAGTCAGAGCACAGTTTGGTGGTGTCATGCACTGTTCAACTCTATCCGGCCAGGTATTCTTGTGTAGAACTTAAATCACATGTGATTGATACCACATGTGATTGATTATGCATACTGAACGTGGGGCACGTTTCACTAACGTCCGCTAAAGTTCTCCGCTAAGTTGTCTGTTCGCTCTTTAGCGAATGGAAGCATAACGGAGAACTTAGCGAACGGACAACTCCTGTGGTCACATGTTCTATAACAACCATGTTTCTAACAAGGTATCACCATATGCATACATCAACAACCACATTTAAGAACATCTTGTGGCATGAAATGGGAAAAAAAGCCATGAACAACCAACAAAAACCAAGTTCTATGTAAGGCAGATTTGGGTGAGACTATCGAACCCACTCTCAATCCAAATAGAGCTAAAAATTCACAATATGAAAGCAGATATTTACCTCTAATATATATCTATGTACTAACTGGGGCTCATAGGGTCTATGTCTCCCGGGGTACTATCGGAGGGTACCCTGGGTACGGTTCGATATATCAGAACGTACCCTGGTAACTATCTGATATGGTTAGGGTTAGAGTTAGAGTTAGGGTTAGGGAGTAGGCATAGACACCCTAGACTCGTTAGTGGAGTAGGCGAGGTACGGTCCGGCATATTAGATAGTACCAGGGTATTTACCGATATAACGAACCGTTCCCAGGGTACCCTCCGATAGTTCCCTGGGGGACATAGACCCTCTCAGCCTAACTGGGCTAGATATTTTTGACATTGATCACCACATTTTATCAAAACAATCTTATTCATCAGTAATTTCACCAAAAACAACAGTGGCCAAAATTCAAAGACATTTGAGTGTTTTCACCCCAAAAATAATCTGGTACTGGACACAATTAAATAAATAAACCCCTGGGGACTGGACATTCTTGCAAACGCATTGGAAACTTACAAACTTCTGTGCTTGCTGCTGCAGTAACTCTGGGTTTGGCTCACTCATGTTTGGCACTTCAGTGAACACCATGCAGAATCTGTAGAACAGATAGAACATCTAACTCGGTGAACATTACAACAGAACATCCACGACAGAGAGAAACACATCCAATCACGAGAAACCAGATCCCTATAATGTGTCATGTATTGTAACTGCTCCAGAACACTATTTCATCACAATGCTGTAACTGATACTCGATACAGTCAAATATAAATATAATATTGTGACGTTCTAGTCTGAGTGTGTTGTTATAACTACAGCATTACAAAATATTCACATGATTTAAACTGCAATATCAACATTGTAAATGATTTCTTCCATAATGTCCAGGTAAATCTTGCTTAATCATTATTAGTAATTTAAGGTATAATTTATTGACACCATTTATTATACTTACTCGCCTATCTTGCTTAAACCACCACCCTTCCCTGCATAGAGAGTCAAGCAATCCCTGAACATTGATGCGTATCTAGAGAAAAAAGGGGATTCGTGGGATTTTACGTCATTATAAAGAGAGTAAACAGTAAAGGTTACTAGACCAGTAGTTAACAACACATTTAGTTGAGTGAAAATTAAGACCAAGGCAACAATAACAAACGTGAACATAAGATTTTTGTTATAATCATTGGATACAATTATGACTACAACTAAAGAAAAAAATCAAGCTGCTTATGCAATAGTGAAAGTAGAAATTTTATGTCAAATCTACATTCATGAGTCAAACAGCAAAAATACTCGTCGTTTCTTTATTGGCATGCCACACAATCTCACGTACCCTTTTGTAAGGCGAATGATATCACCTGGTTGAATAAGTTCACCCGGTTCATCCCATATGGAGATTGTAATACATCCTGTTTTATCTGCTACCTTGCACGCTCTAACATCATGTGCTTCCTTGGTCTTACTTGGGCGACCTAGAAATACATTATAATATGAATTAGTGCCAAAAATGCAAATTATAGCATATATCAGTAGTGACATCAACCTATGTATATATTTTACATATAGGTGTATGGTAGCATGTAGTTACTGAAGGAATATTTGCAATTATACACATACCATGGTATAAATAGATGCATATGCAGCAATTAAAAGTTATATTATTTATAGACCTGATAAAACATGGAACAACCAAAAAATCAAACAAAGACGTATTACCCCCGTATTACTATTTAGCATACATCTACATCAAGTTTACACACAATTTTTTAGTGTTCTTCCAACGATTACACTGCATGCGAAATTATAGAAATGATAGGAATCCATTAGGTAAAGGAAAATCAGTGAACAAATAAGATCTTAAAATATGAGAACATACTTCAGGACAAAATGAGTCAGAATACAGTCATAATAGGTCATTTAACATCAATTGGCATACATGACTGTGTCATTAGTAGTGTTTCGAGTCTTACAGAGATTGCAAGAGATTTCAGGCAGTAACTAAAATATGTCATGCATTTCTAGTTGTGATCACTTATCTACTAAAATAAAACAACCCAAGTAAGAAATCACTAGGTTATCGCGTTTCTCTCTCTCTCTCTCTCTCTCTCTCTCTCTCTCTCTCTCTCTCTCTCT